AAGGACAACCAACGCAAATCTTTTTTCTGGTGTTTTCAGCAAAAAAAAAAAAAAAAAAAAACATACCAAGTCAAATAAGATTTACTGGTGCCGAATATATTTTCCCCCAAAATGTGATTAAAGGATATACATTCGGTACATTTACCGGAAGTCATACTAGCTCTTGAGAAAGGTAGTTACAATGTGCCTACAACGACAAGGTGCCAATGCATGAGCCTGGATGGCAGAAGGGGGCAGAGTTCATGCAATGTTTTTCTGGTCCCCAAGGCAGGATTTTACATGTCACCCTTCAGCAATGATTCCATGTTGCTAGAGTTCAGCAGAAATGCCTAGTGCTGGGCTGATCTATTTATTTGTAAGATGCAAAATGGTTATGCAGCTCCCGCACGGTGGGTCCCACGGCCAAACGGTAACGCATCCACACCGCGGGCAAGCAGAGATTTCAGAATCTCATTTACTGCCCCAGTGGAGGCTGCGCGTCAGGGCAGCGGTACCCCGAGCTGCTCGGCCAAGAGCCAGCCTCTTGCCAACTGCACCCCTGCTGACCTGTTAGCCAGCGAAGCGGGCGTGAAGTAAGGTGCCCTGGCTGGCTGGCTGGAGCGGCACGCACGCAACGCTCAGTCACGCTCAGCAAGAAAAACCTGATCAGATGATGAGCAAATATGAACATCCCAGAAATGGCCTGTGATCCACTACATAATGCACCTTAACAGTATTAAGAATTTCTGCTGGGGAGGCAGAGAGACACTGGACAGCTGGCACAAACCTGCGGAAGGACAGAGACACTGCCCAAGATGGGCTCTGCGCTTGTGCTAAGCTCCCGCCGGTGCAACGCTTTCCAGGTAAGCTGCTCCTTTTAGCACCAAACGTGAGGTTTATCAAGATGACAACTCAAGTCATTTCAACCCGAGCACCTTTCAGCTAGATTTCAGGATGCTATGTCTGACGCTCACAAGGTCCGAGTTTAAATCTAGTCCCACGCATCTGACAGTCATTTTAGCTACTGACTCTGAACGCCCTGCGACTCCCATTTAGCAGACACGGCGTAACTGCCATTTAGCACTTCCTGTAGAAACACGAATGTAACAGCCATTATACTATGTCATAGGCAAATTAATTTTAAGGTAGAGAGGTCTTACGATCCTAAATCATCATCAATCAACTTATTTGGATTGAAAAGTGTCTAGCAAAAGAGTTTGAAACACAGTATCGTGAAAAACTTTATGCATGCATCTCAAATTTATTTTGCATTAAAATAAACTTTTGTTTTAATTGCTTTTCATGAGCTTTTTGATGCTTCCTTGTACATAACAGGAGTGCGTTTATTTTATTTGAATGAAAACCTGTTAAATGACTTCTCAGTTACATTAAAGGTATAAACGGGGTAACGCTGAAATGATCTTAAATCCCTAAGAAAAAGGCTGGTGTTGCGGTGCGGTGGGTTAAGCCACCATCTTCCATGCTAAATACCACTTAGGAGTAATGGGTTTCAAGCCCTGGCTGCCTCACTTCTGAGCCAGCTTCCTGGTACCGGTGCCTGAGAAAGCAGCAGAAAATGGCCCAAGAAACTGTCACTGTCACCCACGTGGGAAACCCAGGCGGAGCTCCTGACTCCCAGGCGTGGTCTGGCCCAAGCCCGACCATGCTGGCCATTTGGGAAATGAACCAGTAGATGAAGACTGATCTCTCTCTCTCTTTTTCTCTCTCTCTTTTTCTCTCTCTCCTGGTCCCCCGTCCCCATTTCAGTTGTTCTTACAAAATAAAATAAATCTTTATAAGAAAAAAAAGTTTAATTGTATTTTAGTTCAATACATCTGAGCACTGATATAATTTAAAATATGAAATGTGTAACTACCGTTCTCATAAGTTAATGAGAATTTAAAATTCAATAAGGAAATATGAGTTAATCTACTGTTATGGCTGTTCATCGTTCTCCACTGGAATTCCAATAAACTTTAAGGATTCCTTGAGCTTAAAAAAAAAATCATTATAAATCATATCTAAGAAGATTTAAATTAAATGCAGCAGAAATAAACTTCGGCTGCGAGGGAATTTTGAATGTACGGTCACACAGGACCAATCCATTACATACGACAAGAAATCTACATAATTATGTGAGTGGCAAATAAAGCTAGAAAAAGAATTCGTTTCTATAAAATAAGTAAAGGGAATCCAGATAGGTGTTTGGCAGTGTGGCTCCGGGGCGCTCGGCTCGTGTCCCTCCCGAAGCCCGGTGCCTGGGCCCCTCGCCCACGGGTGGGTCACCAAGGCTCATGTGGGAAGCCCGTGTCGTGGCAGGCTTACGGCTTTGGTCGGGTGCTGCCCGGCCGCTGTGAACATCTGAAAGTGAACCAGGACATAGGAGAGCTCTGTCTCTGTCCCCTCTCTCCAACAGAGATAAATAAATGGGAAAATAATAGACCCTCATCTCACTGGAATATACTGTAACCGACAAAAGGCAATTTATATCCATACTAACTTTCTTTACGCAGGCATGAAAGTGTGCATGCGTGTAAATAATTAAGGTGCTTCAACAAATTTTACTCTTAGTAAAATTAATCAATGTGTCAAATTGACAACTTCACAGGTGACACAATATTAAAACGAAAAGCTATTTCCCAGTTTAAAGTTAAAATACAAGACTGCCACCTAGTGTTCATACCAAATACTTGCAACAGACACTATCATTTCTCTATTACACTAATAAAATCTTATATTCACAGGATGAATACAAATTGCCATTCTTATGGGCAAAACATTTTTGATGTGAAGAAAAGTATGAAATAAAAATAGAAAGCACCTTTTTGATGCAATTCCTGTCACATTTTGCTTCTGCAGGCAGTATGTATATTTTTCGGATATTTTCTAATGCAAGAGAGAGCAAAGGTCAAACAGGACTAGTTGCAGCTTATAACCACGTACTCTCCATATCTTATGTGGCATTAGTACGACCAAGTTGCTAAGTGAATTGTTACAACTAAACTCAGTTCCAACTTCTCAACACAAAGGCATCACTTTGTCCTTCTTATTCACCCATTCTTATTATTTTGTTTTTGTACAAGCAACACATTTGATTTGTTACTCAACAGCGAGCGAGCTCCATCATTTTCTATGACTAGATTTGCTACTCATTTATCCCGTTCCAGTCTGCCTAGACAGGCTGAGGCCAGGCCCCAGGGGACTGGTGCCTGAACTGTCCCAGGTGACTGCCTAATGACTGGCAAGTGGGCGGGGCTGGGGGCAGAACTCTCTGGTGACATGGATGGACCTGCGAGAACTTCCTGAGCTGTGAGGAGGAAACTGACAGGAGAGACAGAGAGAAAGATCTTCCAGCTGCTGGCTCACTCTCCAAGTGGCTGCAACGGGCAGCCAGAGCTGAGCCAATCTGAAGCCAGGAGCCAGGAGCATCCTCCAGGTCTCCCATGCAGGTGTGGGGTCCCAAGGCTGTCCTCCACTGCGTTCCCAGGCCACAAGCAGGGAGCTGGATGGGAAGTGGAGCTGCCGGGACACAAACCTGTCTATATGGGACCCCGGCTCACACAAGGTGAGGATTTTGCCATTAAATGCCTTTTTCAAATAAAGAATTTAAAATCCTCACCACAATGCAAAGCGTGATGATGCCAGGTCATTCTGGGACCAGACTTACTCACAGTGAATCAATTTATATGTAAATCCTATTATTTCACATATGTGTTGGTGTAAAAATTCACTCATAAAATGCTTTTTCACAACATCTGAGAGGACTTTGTTTTCAGTAAATATAATTCACACCATTTTGTTTTTTGCTTCCAACTTCTTACTAGATATTTTTTTTCTGGACCACTGAAGATGTCTACTTGTGATTAGACTAAGTTCTCTGAAAATGCAAACTTAATAAATAAAATAAAAAATAAATCCTTCCCTTCACATTTATGCTGCTATTGCCACCTAGTGAGCATTCCGGAACTTCGAAAAATACATGTTTTCTTAAAAAGCTCAGCATCAATCCAGTATCAACAAACTGGAACTTACGTGACAAATAGGTGCACAAATATCAGGCACTATGATTATTTTCTTCTAAACACATTCTAAAATGCTATTTTATTAAATTACATGCCCCATATTATAATCCATCAATTTAATCAACCTGTTTATTAATATAACTACAATAATTTCATCTTAGAAATTCTTTGATTAAAGAGGTAGGTGCAGAGGCACAGCTAATGAGCCCTCCCGCCTTGAGGGTCCAGCATCCTGTAAGGGCGTCTGTTCATGTCCCGGCTGCTCCACTTCATGTCCAGCTCTCTGCTTATAGCCTGGGGAAGCAGCAGAGGACGGTCCAAGTTCAAGGGCCCCTGCACCCACATGGGAGACCTGGAAGAATCTCCTGGCTTTGAATCAGCTCAGCTCTGGATATTGTGGTCATTTGGGGAGTAGGCCAGCGGACAGAAAACCTTCTCTGTCTCTCCTTCTCTCTCTGAAAAATCTGCCACTCAACAAAAACAAATCTTTAAAAAAAAAAAAAAAAGGAAAAAGCTAAAAATAGTAAATTGTTTTTTGCCATGGGGATATACTTACAAATACAGTGGTATACTCCCCAAGACTCTATATTTGGAATTCTCAGTTACAAATGTCCCTCAATGGACAAGGAAATGATTCAAAGATTCCCAGCAACATCAAAACCTACACAGAGACGTTCAAGCCCCTTACATAAAATGCTATTTCCACATAAGCCACAGATAACCTCCTACCCACTTACATTATCTGTAGAATGCCTAACATATGTAAATGCTATGTAAGTAGCTGTGTACACTTTAGGGAATGACAAGATATAAAATTCCGTATGTGTTTAGTACAAATGCTATTTTTTATTCCCTAAAAGTATTTTTGACCAGTAGCTGAATGAAATCACCAACACAAAACCCACACATTATCCCAAGAGTAACATACACCTGCTAGAAGTCGAGCATCTGGAATACCAGCGATGACATCACCTGAAGACTTGCACAAGGATGCCCTACCTGCGAGAAGATATTCGCTGTCGGAGCAACCCTGCTGTCCACGATGCTATACAGGATGGCCAGCAACCTGTCCAGCGGGAAGGGCTTTGGTCCAAGCAGATGATTGCTCGTCTGAAGAGAAAAGAAGACCAACTTCCTCAACATCGGGGTACTCACTCTCGGTAGCTTCGGTTCCCAGTGACGACAGTTAGATTCGTTCTGCTAAAGACGCTAACGAGCAGAATGTCAGCTTCTTGATCTGCTCAGTCACCCAACTGTTCCAATGGCAGTGGGAAGTCACCCATTTGCCTAGTCCAATGTCCTTTCTTGGGGGAAAGAGGAAAATGCTTGTATTTCATCTACCGTGTTTAAATAACTCAGGGTGATCTGCTCATCTGCGGGGTCACTGATACGCTCTGTCAGTGCACTTTCATCTCCAGCACTGGCTCATACCAACGTGCCTTCAGTCACTGCACTCGGCAGGACGCTGTCAGAGCGCCAGACTGGTGACACGCCAACGCAAGGAAGTTCTTCAATGCAAGTGAGTAACGCAGTCACCCACCGACCCATTCTGCACAGAACCCGCAATTCACGTTTCTCCCATTAAGATATTAAAATGTCAATACCTTTTCATGTTTCTTTAGAAAGTTGGTTTTCTTGATTTTCCCATGATGCTGCAAGAAAAGAAAAAAATTGTAAGCTGGAGAGCCAGTGTATCACACAGCAGGAAATACAATCTGCTTAATAGTTGGAAGAGATTAATTTATGTGTCTTGGGATTTTAAATTTTGTTCTTGTCATCATGCATATGTATATTATTATTAGAGTCCAACATACTTTAGACTTACTTGATTTAGATTGGATGTTATGATTAATTTTACATATAAAGAAAGGTTTTAAGACAAAATAATACTTTCCAAAAAAAGTAAATTGGTTTAGTGTACTTACAGCTGTAAAAACAGAATTTCCAAAAGTAAGGGTTTTTTACATCTATCTGTTAAAGAAGGTTGGCAATTTCAATGATAAATTACCCTGAGAGCATCTGGCTAGGCACTGGGGACCAAATAACCCCACAGCCGACTACTAAACTCTAAGCAGACAGATAACAAGAAAAAAAAAAACTAATAAAAGGAAAATGTATTATAAATCGTATTAAACCCAGAGAGGAAAGCCGACTTCCTAGCTAACTAGGAAACGACAAAGATAACCCACTTACGACGGGTTATCCGAGGGGGACTGTGCAGGAAAGACATCAGCTACCCCGAGGCCTTAAGGTGAGGAGTAAGAAAGCAGATCTCCAGAAAGACGGAACACAATTAAAGGCTGTAGATCCGAATGTGCCGAGGAGAGCAGAGGCCACAGCGAGGACGGGGCTGGGCACAGGCGGCAGGGCGAGGCTCCTGTGTGGACTGGGACCGGGGGCCACCGCACTCCTGCAGTGCAAGGGTGAGAGGATGGGCCCTGTACTGTGGCATAGTGGATAAAGACTTCTCTGTCCTTTCCTATCCCTAACTCTGCACTCCAAACATGTTTAATGAAACAACCTTCAGCTACATAATTTCTGAAATCTAGAATTATTGCTTAAGATATACTTAATTTTTTCTCTCTTGTAGAACTACTTATGCTTGTCCACGTCTCAGATTGTCAATGGCAAGCAGACAAGGAATGGGTACTAAATCTATCTAGCTATTTCTTATTCTAATGCGGGGGTCCTTACAAACTTTCAAGTGGTGAAATTTGAAAATATTCCTGGGATCATCAGAAACAACGCGCCAAGATTCCTGCTACTGTTACCTTAAGGAAGAACCTCTTGTCGGTTCTTGCTGGGTTGTACGAAGCAAGGTATGCGGCGATCAGAATAAACTTAGAGTAATATGGGAGTTCCACGTGATTATACGCTGAGAGACCTGTGCAACAAAATACTTGTATGAAGGAATCTGTCGGGCTCTCAGCGCCGCCTCTCACTTACCTGTTGATTTCCGAGCAGTGTGTTCTGGTCGAAGTAACCTTCCCCGTTACTCCCCATCCACCCCAAAACACAAACAAGTGATTTCCTCTACGAATCCGTACCCTGCACATGTCACATACAACCAGTTAACACTGTGCGTGACGTAAACAGTTAATTACACAGAAATTTTATCTTATACTAAGCTATTATACGACACCGAGGAGAAACATTTCACATGTATTTTCTGGCAGACGTAACGATGCCTTGCGCGGGGAGTAATGAATGAATAAAACACAAGTTCGTCACACAGCACTGATCTGTGGGGGAGAGGCGGAATCTGCTGCCTGCTGGTTTAACTCAGACATTCTGCTAAGCGTTTTCCTTCAGCCTCGCCCCGGGTGCTTGCTGTTCCTACAGATGAAGAAACGGAGCTGGCTTCAGGCTCACACGGTTAGCAAGGCATGCAGGGCAGCCACTGTCGGCTTTTCTAAACTCTAGAATCCCTCCTTTTCCCTTGCAACGGACTGGAAATCACCTGTTCTACACGGGAGGCGTTCAGTGTGTACGACCGAGGAATCCTACGGACAAGCGAAACCACGGCGTCACCATTTCACGCCGCCTCCCCCAATCGCGAGCCACCGAACTCACTAAGAGGCGGAGCTCACGTTTTTATCCCTATCATGCAAGAGCAATTCTATTTCGGGAAAATCCAAATATCTGCCTTGATAAAAATGAAAACTAGAAAGCTTTTAAAGCACAATGACTAAAATGCATCCCCTAAACTGAGAGACAAAAAAATTTGTACCTTATTCCTTAAAACATCATGAGGCACAGAGACCGCACTATTATAACTGACCTGTGTCAACAAAACATGGGAAGGCAGACCAGCTACTTGATCTCCATAGTCCAATATTTAGAAAACAGAAAACTCGTATTTGGATTCTCTTTCCTTCCATTAAAAACGAAGCTTCAGCGAGAGCAAAAAATCAAAAGATGACTACTACTGCTGCTTGAGGTGCAAACTCCCCATCATGCCCCTCCCGCCCTCGCGGCACACACTCTGGACCCCAGGGGCGGCTCTCACAGCTGTCTCAGTGTGTGACAGTCACACGCTGGTACCTTTCACTTGTCCCGGATCTGTGTCACCATTCTGCAGCTTTTCCCACTGGGAACTGAAAAAAAATAAAGCAAACAGGACTGAAAACACATGGAATCACTAAGCTGTACTCAAAACAGAGCCCTACAAGAATCAAAAGTTTTTTTTTTGTTTATAGACAAGACGTTCTCTCTGTATAAAATGTACGTACTGTATCTGTATAACATCATTTAGTGGGCATTAAAATATATATCTATGTATTTGCAGTATGCATGTTAATATCTGAGTAATTTGTTGGATCATAAAGACATCCAAAAAGGTACCAAGAAATATTACTGCTTACTCATAGTCAAAACTCAGTATTTTAGATACAGTCAATTGTCTGTGTACACACTATTTTTTTTTTATAATTGTGATTTATCTGTTTTCATTTTATTTGGATTGAGAGAGAGATCATTCAGGTGTGTGTAGCAGTCAGGGCTGGGCCACGCCGAAGCCAGCAGCATGAGCTAAGAGAGAGCCAAGGAACTCAGCCATCACCTGTCGCTTTCCAGGGTGAGTGAGCAGGACGCCTCGTCAAAAAGAGAAGAGCCAGGACTCGAACCAGGTGCTAGAATGTGGGATACAGGCTTACCCTTTTATTTACCTTTTTATTTAGTTAAAATTCTCTGGCTTTTTTTTTCTTTTTTTTTGGTTTTTTGTTTTTCATTCCTTCCCTCAATGTTCCCTATGTAACTTTTGGTTGAATCTACCCTTATTTGGATACAACTTCTTTTAAATATATACATAAATATATATATATATATACATATATATGTTTAATTTAATTGGAAAGGCAAACTGCATTTACGGAGGGAAGGAGAAAAAGGGAGAAAGATCTCTCATCCACTGACTCACTCCCAAAATGGCCACAACGGCCAGAGCTGAGCTGATCCAAAGCTAGGAGCCTCTTCCGGGTCCCCCACATGGTCTCAGGGTCCCAAGGCTGGCTTTGGGCCGTCCTCCGCTGCTTTCCCAGGCCACAGGCAGAGAGCTGGATGGGAAGTGGAGCAGGGAGAGCACGAAGCAATGCCCACATGGGACCCCAGCGCTTGGAGGTGGAGGATTAGCCATCGAGCCATTGCGCCAGGCCCACTACTTCACTTGTGACAGGACTGTTTCTATTTGAATTTCATTCGTGCATTGATCAAGTTTGTTTCCCATCTGTGCATCCTTCCGCCAGTGATTCCGGACTCCTTACATTCTAATTTAAACTACCAGTTTCTTCTCTGAGAGGGCTTCCGGATAAAGTTTCAAAATCTTCCTCGTTTTGGGTGGGAAGAGAGGAATTTAATTTATCTCTGGTGTTTGCGTGGATCGGGGCGATGTCCGGGGATGCGACTGCAGCTTTCTTAATTTTAAAGTGCTCATATGGGCGCCAGTTCTAATCCCGGCAGCCCCGCTTCCCTTCCAGCTCCCTGCCTGTGGCCTGGGAAAGCAGTCGAGGATGGCCCAAAGCTTTGGGACCCTGCACCCGCGTGGGAGACCCGGAAGAGGCTCCTGGCTTCGGATCGGCATAGCATCGGCCCGTTGCGCTCACTTGGGGAGTGAATCATCGGACGGAAGATCTTCCTCTCTGTCTCTCCTCTCTGTATATCCGCCTTTCCAATAAAAAAAAATAATAAAAAAATAAATCTAAAAAAAAAAAAGTGCTCTACTCCGCAAAACAAACTGGAGCAACGTTTCTTAACATCAACTGCCCTCCTGAAGGCGATGCACTGGCTCACTTTCTGATTCTGTTTTCTTTTAGCAGACGGAGGACTCCTTAACTTCCACCTCTTCCTTTCTTTGTCCTTTCCCCCAGACATCTAATGCCTAATACACACTTCTAAAGCAAGATTCTCGTGAGGCACTCCTCTCCCAACACTGCCATAGGAAGTCTGGCCAAGCACATTACTTTTTAATTAATTTCATTATTTGGAAGGCAGAGAGAGAGGGAGAGAGGGAGAGAGGAGGGAGGTTTCCAGCTGCTGGTTTACTCCCCACTCGGCCCCACCAGAGCTCGTACCAGACCAGGCAGGGGCCAGGAGCCTGGAAGTCCCTCGTGGTTCTGTGCTTGCACCATCGCCTGCTGCCTCCCCTCAAAGCACACTGCTAAAGAGCTGGATGGGGGGGCAGAGCAAGGACGGCAACCCAGACCCCGGGATACGGGAAGTAAACGCCCCTTTTCACCAGTATACACACAAAGCACATCGTCCTGTGGGGACGGGGGTGCGGCCTAGCAGTTCAGGCTGCCCTGCTGTCCTCTCCTCTCTGACTTGTCACCGCAGCAAGAGCTCCAGAGTGCTCTCCAGCTTCGGTGTTTAACTCTCAAGTGTTTACATCTAAACTGAAGTTTCTAGCAATTTCTGACTCCTAGTTACGCTGCAGCCAAGGAGGGGGTCACCAGTGACTTAATTCGCTCTTACGAATTGTGTGCAAAGTTGAATTTAAGTGGCCACAATCATCCTGTGGGTTTCAACATTATGGAAGAATCGTTTAAAAAATTCTACAAGTTTTCCTGTCTTTGGCAAGGTTTCCCTTCTGCGACATAGAAAAGCTCTCATCAAGAGAATTTTTATTGTTGAAAACAGAAGGGAGACAATAATATCTTGATAATATTTCTGCTAATTCAGAAACGATGAAATATTTACCCAAAATGCAGTTTAATCAGCTAATTGAATTGAAGGAAAAAAAATAAGCAAGAGTAGTAAGGAGGGAAAAATAGTCACAAATTGACTGGAAAGCCATTGAGTGGCCACAGATCATTGTCACACATACTGTATAAATCTAAGGACTGGTGGAGGAAGCCGCGACAGTCCACGGGCTCTGGCCGACTTGCTGACATCACACAGAGCAGCCAACGGCCGAGCTGAAAATGCAAACCCAGCTCTTCCACCAACACCCTCTGTCACCAAGTGCCTTCAGTACTATGGAACTCGCACAGAGAGATGCAGGTCTAAGATGGTTCTTCTCTGCAGCATCTCATTCAAATACCAGGCAGAAATAGGGAAAAACAAAGCTAGTATGGGTCTTCCTATAACTTTCCAGATTAAAAAATATATATATGTTGGTTAAAAATTGTTTGCCCTAACCAAAGAAAACGAATGAATTCCGTAGCTTTCCGCAGCAATGGAAGGGCGGTAAAGGAATACAGACTTGGGTAAAACAAGTCTCCCAAACAAACAATGTGGGAACAGCACATGAGTGACTCACCTTGACACCTCCCTCAGGTACACGGCCTGCATGGCCTTCTTCAAGTGAGGCTCGATGTTTCTCCACAGCTTCCGCGTATCGCGCTCGCTTGCTGCACAAACAGGAGAACAAAACTCGGATCGGATGAAAACATTTCTCGGTACGATTACTAATAGGGAAGATTATACCGTTACCTTCTCCTTTGACCACAGGCTCACAATACTTGGGAAAATTAAGCACTGCCTGGAAATGAGAGAGAAAAAAAACCACATTGATCTTTAATCATTAGAATTTATTTTCTAAGTAAAATTTTTATAAAAATGCAGACAATTTTATTTAAATCCAACTGCTCACGTAAGACGCGATTATGGCTCATACAATAACACAAGGGACATGACAGTACAAGAACATATCAAACCTTTCTGATTTGGCTAAATCCTATATTAGCCTCTAGATATAAAATAACAAAGCACAATTTGGAGTTCATAATTATGTCACATGGGACCACAAAACATTCAGGCATAAACCTGAAACCCAAAGAACCAACTCTCCTTTTCAAGGTCTGAACACTTTCGCTAACTCCACAGCATCCGGCTCAGCCTGGTTCTGCAGCATCACCCGGGGCTGTTACAAACCCCAGTCCCTGGCACCATCCCAGGAACACGCGATCAGAATCTCTGAGGATGAAACCCAAGAAACTCTCCCGGGATAGGGTCCCTGGAATTCCTGTGAATTCTGAACCTTGATGCAGTAGTACTCCATGAGTCAACACTCAAATTTCATGGAAAGGCAGTGGATGCAGGATCTTTCTGTCTCTCCTTCCCTCTGTAAATCTTTCCAAGAAAAATACTTAAATCTTAAAAAGAAAAATACTGCTGCCATGTATTATTACTTACTCGGTATTAAGTATTTCACATTGAAATGATTGAATAATAAGATCTTAAAGATGGACACACATAAAATTTATCATTATAAACTCAGGATCATTGAGGACCATCAAGTCCTCCCAACCGTTTGCCCTATTCTATTTCATAATGCTAGTATGAAGAGGAGAGACAGCGGAGTAAGAAGCAATTGGCACTCGGCCCACATTTCTTAGCCTAGTTTCGCTTGTCCAAATCTAAGTGTGGTTTAACAACACCAACATGACATAACTTGGCTTAAGAGAAATACACTGTTCTCTTTTTTGGTCAAAACATTAAAAGTATATGTTTCATTATTTATGAATAGCAGTGAAAAAGGAAATTAAGATGATTTTTAAGAGAATATTTTGCTTTACCTTTACAAATCACTGTAAGAGGAAAATCAGTATGTTCTCCATGCAACTCCCTAACAAGTTATTAAAGAAAACGACGTGGGCCCGGCGTGGTGGCACAGTGGTTAAGGTCCTCGCCTTGCACGCCCGGGATCCCATATGGGCGCCGGTTCTATCCCGGCAGCCCCGCTTCCCTTCCAGCTCCCTGCCTGTGGCCCGGGAAAGCAGTTGAGGACAGCCCAAAGCTTTGGGAACCTGCACCTGCATGGGAGACCTGGAAGAGGCTCCTGGCTTCGGATCGGCATAGCATTGGCTGTTGCGCTCACTTGGGGAGTGAATCATTGGACAGAAGATCTTCCTCTCTGTCTCTCCTCTCTGTATATCTGCCTTTCCAATAAAAAAATAATAAAAATAAATCTTTAAAAAAAAAAAACGACGTGACTGCAATCAGAACATTTGACTGTGTAAGCACAATCATTTACATCAACCTACAGAGCTTAATCCTTAATCAAAAGTGGAATTTTACACCTATTGAAATAACACTCAAGTATGCTGTCTGATATCTTGTCTATTTCTCCTACTTTAATTGGCCAACAGAATTATTTTTTCACTTTTGAGAGGTAGCATTACCTGTATCCTAATCTCAATTCAAGCTCATCAGTATTGCAAAGTGTCCTCCTCACTCCCTCCAAAAATAAAAGTCTGCTAAGAAAATCATAAAAACTACTCCCAAATCACACATAAATGATTTTCAGATTAATGTTTATTGTGTCAAATTTTACAGTCACTTCTCACACCCCACTCCCATGAGTCCTTTGCCTACAAGTCGAGTGTTTATTCAACTAGCCACATCAATGAGAGGGTAGGAAGGAGGACGGAGGCATGACATTAGGTAAATGAGGGGAAAAAAAAGAAAAAGCAATACAGACACGATGAATGAAAAGAACGCCCGATGGGTGATCCCCCAAACTTTGGAAAACTGCGCCACCCACAAAGTTTCAAACAAATAAAATTTTAAATCAAAGTATTTTACCAAGGGAGAAATATCAGAACACTGCTCTAACTCAAATGCTTGAGATCCTTTTTTAGATTTACTACTATTATCTACAGTGGAGAAGAGTTATACTGTACTTCCAAAAAAAAACAGCCGAAGCCTCATCCCCACATAGAAGCATGCCCCGGTGAAAACAAAAGCATTTTCAAAAATGTCCTTCGTATTACTTTTCTCCCTTCACTGTGTGTGTGTGTGTGTGTGTTTTATTGGAAATATACTCCTTACGTGACTTTCCCCCTTGCACCTTAACATTTCCTGTGTCTGTACTCCGACTGTAGGTCCGAGTCCCACGGGAGCCAAGCGCCAAGGAGCAGCGCAGCCAGTGGTCCCCCACAGCCGGGTCCTGCTCAGCATCTGTTTATGTGATGCCTTTCAGGACAAAGGATAACATGCCGAGATATGCGGCACCTGTTACTCTGAAAGCCACTTGGCCATGTTACCACCCTCAGTCATGCAGAGACAAGATCTAAAGTATTACAGCGAGGCTTCAGGAAGCCACACATTCTTTCCCCCTTCCCTCAACATCCTCACAATCCGAGGGAAGGACTCAAAGAAAAATTAAACAGGATCATTTCCCAGACTGTTTGTACAATATGAATATCCACTCTAATTTTAAAAAAATTTTAATCTTTTATACAAACATTATTATCTCAAGGTCAGTGGCTGAAGAAAAACCTACAATCAAAGCTTCTAACTACATTCAGATCCATTTAAATTCTATGACCCAGGGGCTGGCACGATGGTTCCATGGGTTAATCCTCTGCCTGCAAGGACCCAGTCCTTTAAGCACTGGCATCACATGAAAGCCAGTTTGTGTCCCGGCTGCTCCACTTCCCATCCAGCTCCCTGCTTGTAGCCTGGGAAAGGGGACAGCCCAAAGCCTTGGGCCCCTGCACCCAGGTGGGAGACCCAGAGGAAGCTCCTGGCTCTTGGCTTCTGCCAGCTGTTGTGGCCATCTGGGAAGTGAACCAGTGGATGGAAGACCTTTTTGTCTCTCCTTCTCCCTGGAAATCTTTCAAACAAATAAAAAAAAATCTAGGCTACACATATTACATTTAGAAATCCCGGAACAAGTCTGCCACTAATAAAAAAGTAAATAAATAAATGAACAAACAAATAACACGGGAAGTGGTTCCAGTGGAATTCCACAGTTTTTTCCTGTAGTTAGAGAAAAGAAGGAAGTCACACTTACAAGGAAAGTTGAAAAGACACACCTGATTGGGTGTGTCTTTCAGATTGGGTCAAAACTGACGGCCACAGAGATGGCCATTCTCGGAGCGGCCCTGTGCCCATCCTGGGGAGGGAGGAGACAGGAAGAGACACGCACGTGTTTAAACCACTCACCAGATGTCGGAGCTCATTGAGATCTCGACAAACAGTGTAGAAAACCCCGAGGAGGATGTTGATGTAGGCGGCATAGAAATCGGCTGAGTACTCGGGGGGATGGTCATGAGACAGAATCTTCTGAAGGTTTCCTGTTCACAAGACAAAACAGACTTAGAATGATTCCCAAAGCGTCACTGTCTGATTCTCTAGCATTTTAGAAAAAGGATTTTTTTTTTAACCAAAACAGATAAAACCGTTCCAAGAGTAGCACAGCCAAGTTTTACTCTGTGATGTAGAGAGACATCTGGTCTCAGCTCTGGTCCTGAGACAGAGCTTCCAAAGTCTGTGCAATTTCCCAAGTGTCAGAGGGTGAGAGGAACATCTTTTGTAATTCCTAAGGAGTATCTCTGCAGCATAATGTGTTTATATAATGAGCTGACTCTAGCTGGGCCTCTCGGGAGCTTCAGGAAGGCACTGTTCTCAGACCAGAGGTGCCACCCTCCCAAAACCCACCAGAAAGAAGGGCTGGAGATTGAAATCATTCCCAATAGCCAATGATTGAACCCACCGGGCCTACTAAGACAAGCCTCTCACAATGGGTCAATGGCTATATCCTCCCCTTGCAAGCCCTGGCATCCCACATGGGCACTGGTTCGCGTCCTGGCTGCTCTGCTTTGCATCCAGCTCCCTGCTTATGGCCTGGGAGAGCAACAGAGGATGGCTCAAGTCCTTGAGACCCTACACCCAACGTGGGAGAGAGGTCTGATACCTTCAGTTTAAAAACAAAAAATTAAACCCTTTGATTGTGTGGTTTCTTTTTTTTTTTTAATGGATGAGGAGCTACTGAAAATAAGGTATCCCTTTTCCTATTTTGGGTAACTTAAAAAAAAAATAAGTCAGTTAATTAGCCATGGCAGGAAGTGTTTTTTGATTGTAGTGCTTGTGAAAACAGACAAAAATGTGTTGATCTTAATGATGAATATTTATAACTGATTAATTCAGAGACATAGCAGTAACGAGGCCAAGGTCATAGAATGCTGTTTTTTTCATAACCTGCTAATTACTTTAAGTTTCACAGTCATAGGCTTTCAAGGAGATGGATCACATTCATATAGTGACAGCCCAGCAGTCATTCACAAAGATACTGAGCGACACAAAGAGCTAAGGTGATCATCTAAAGGTAATTGGGATCTATGAAATTCAAGTTTAAATTCAGCCTCAAGTCAAAGGGACACATTAGGGTTAACGGCTGGTACTACATGAGTTACAGAAATGAAAAATGAGACTCACAAAATCAATAGATACAAGCGGCATTTTAACATAATGATGTTACCAATGAATATCCCAATAGAACTCTAACATGTTTTGTCACTGCAGTTTCATTTAATTGTACGCATGTCACAACTGCTGTATAAAGTAGTGCCTAAAAAAAGGTGATGAAAATCTGGCTCTTAGCACAAAGATGTGAAAGTTTCTCATTCAAAAAACTTCAGTACTTGAACAACTTCTCAAAGCTTTAAAATGGGATTTCAACATCAACAAGACTGTGTGTGAACCCCACCGGTTTAGGGCGCATCCCAATTTTAATAGAAGCTTCATCACTCAAACAATGATAATTCTACGGAATATCACTTGCCCACACAGTGTTTCAAAATTTACCTATGCTGTAGTCTGGAAAGTACAAGACAAACGGCTCAAAGCATCCTGTGTTTGGACGAAACTTTTCCCAAACAATCTCACTGAGAAGGATGACAGTAACGTTTCTATCGGTCTGTAAAACAGAGAGGAATGGCAGTACAGAGTCGTAACTCCACTGGGATTTTTCTTCTCGAAAATTCCAGCAACATCTTAACATACATCGCTGGTGCATTAATTTAGAAAACCTAGTCATTCACTTGCAAACACTCACAGGTAGTTACCTAAACTTTCCATAAAATCTGCGGGTTTGTCAGCGTCTCACTTACCCATGGATGCTAAGACAATCACAGAGGGCTTACTTTGTAAGTTAAGTTCTAATCCCAGCAGCCCCGCTTCCCATCCAGCTCCCTGCTTGTGGCCTGGGAATGCAGTGGAGGACGACCCAACGCCTTGGGCCCCAGCACCTGCGTGGGAGACCTGGAGGAGGCTCCTGGCTCTGGATTGGCATAGCTCTGGCCGTTGCGGCCACTTGGGGAGTGAATCAACAGCTGGAAGATCTTCCTCTCTGTATATCTGACTTTCCAATAACAATAATAAGAATAAAAAGCTGTAGCAACCCAGAGAAAAATCAATGTTAGTTGAAGGAAAACAGATATTCCATGCTACATACTCTCCTTAACAGTACATGCCAGAAACACATTTTCCTTAACATTCTTCATCTATCAATCACTAAGTAAAACTCATACTCAATAAACATTAAAAATACAAAAAAAAAAAAGCTATTAGTCTTTCTTACATCAACATTAAGTAAAAAGGATCATTTGAGGAACTCCCAGCAAAGACCACCAATAGCCATACTTAACTGTCCCTGAACTGTGCCCTGCACCCTCCAGGGGCAGAACTGTCGCTGAGTCATTTTGCACAGCGCCTGGACGGCCCCTGGACAAGCAGTTCCTCCAACGTGAGTAACGTACTGCGCCTGGGGAAAGCAGCACGCCCCAAGCCCTTCTCCGCAAGCACTGACCGCGCATTCTACTGTTACTCAGCACTTTAATGCATACACGGTTAGAACTAGCCAAGCACAGGCTGTTTATATGCTCAGGACACAAAATCAGAAAACAAAAAGTAAACCTTACAAATACAATGGGAATCGACCAACCAAATAATTTAAGTATAAAACATTTTGCTTTTTTTTTTAAAGCAGTCTTTTTTTGTGCAAGCTCAATCTCTACTTCTTATGTGAATATGTCCCTAACAGGAAACACCCAGGGATCTTCTTTGAGCATCCCTATGCTAATCAGAATTGCTTAAGAGTGAATTCTCTTAGCAACTGTCTTTACTCAAACTGCTACAAAGTCCATATGACTATTCGGCTTCCCCGGCCGCACATGCGCAGTGAGCCTGCCCCCTCCCCTCCTCACTGGGTCACGACACTCACACTGATCTTAACATCTGGTGCCAACTGCAAATTGAAATACAAAGCTAAGTACGAGGGGTCTTCAAAAGCTTGTGGAAAATGCAAATTCGAAAAAAAAAAAAAACCTGTACAGGGATTGAAAAACTTTTGCATCAAAACATACTTTTAATTTCCTTTTTTTCCACTGATGTTCTGAAGTACCTTCAGGAAACAAACAAACAAACAACTCCAGATAATCCCAAAGAGCCACACCAAGCACTTTGAGGCTACTCAACAGTAAATTTAAAAATCCTCGCAGAGAATTCAAACTCGCGTGTCCCCGCATTTATTCCAGTGAACGTCTTAGTAAAAATGGAAAAAAAAAAAGACTTTGACAACATAACCTCTTGCCTAGCTTATGGGGGGAACCAACGCAACACATTACTTACCAGTTCTTGCAACCTGAGAAACCCAGGCAAAACATTTGCTTCCATATCTCTTAGATACTCTGCTTTATCTAGAACCTTAAAAGAAGGAAGAGAAAAAAAAAAGAGTCAATTTACAGATCCCTTTATAAAACATTTACATAATATACTGGAAAAATTCAAAACTTGAATTTCTCATCTGACAAAAAAAAAAACCCACAACTTTTAGAAATGTCATTTACATTTTGTAGAAAGACCTTTCAAATAGGTCAAATAAACAGACTAATATAGAACATTTTAACTCTGCTGTCTTAACTAGCTACATTTGAAGTGCTACTGAAACGATGGGTAAGGTGTCCTGATGACAACTTCTTAATACTTAAATAACTAATAATGGTAAGAAAGATTAGATTTGGGCCTGGTGCAGTAGCCTACTGACTAAAGTCCTGTCCTTGCATGCATCAGGACCTTATATGGGCACCGGTTCATATTCTGCCTGCTCCACTTCCTTCCAGCTCCCTGTCTGTGGCCTGGGGAAGGCAGTGAAGGACGCCTCAAAGCCTTGGGACCCTGCAGCCACGTGGGATACCAGGAAGAGGCCCAAGGCTCAAGGCTCCTGGCTTTGGAATGGCTCAGCTCCAGCTGTTGCGGCCACGTGGGGGGTGAACCAGCAGATGGAGGATCTGTCTCCTTCTCGCTTTAAATCTCACTTTCCGATGAAAAACAAATAAATACTGAAAAAGAGAAAGATTCGAGTTTTTGTTCACTGCTAGGATAACCCTATTAGGATTATGCTTTGTAAAACGTCCTTATTGTTCAAAAACAGGTGGCACAAGTTTAGCCAATTGCTGACATTACTGTAACTGAGTGAGGGGCTCCCTGGCACAGAATACTCACAAAACATACAATACAGTAAGTATTTCAATCCTAATTTAGCCAAAATAGAGCTAAGATTATTTGCTGCTAAGAAAAAATCTAGTTTCTCTACTATGCGCTCCCATTATAAAAATATCCTATCAATCTCGCTTGAAATAATTTTTATCCATTAATTCAAATAAACTGGTCCATTTTTTGCTCATTTCAATGCACATTTCAAAGATGAAGCAGTAAATTCATTTTATTCTTCTGATTTAATAAGTCAACCCACTATAATTAATGATTTTACGGTATTCTAATGATAGTGCCTTCCTCAAAAGCGATTATCAGATAATGAGTATTCAAAGTCAAAATCCTAATTCAGATCCAAACATTTTTCTTAATAATCTATGCTGGGCATTCTAATAGCTTCTCAATTTGGAAACTAATTTACTGACTAGAAAACATTCTTGGCTACCTCTCTGTATTATTTCCTAAGCATTGAGGTTTACCAATTCATACTGAACAGATGAATATACTGCAGAGCTAGTCTAAGAAAATGTTTTACACTGAAAATCTACACAATTTTCAACTGTTTTTGTCAACGAGCATCTATGTGCTGAACACCTATTTTGATCCACAGGGGCAAAAAACCAAATGAACCCTCCTTACTGCTCATGGCCACTTCTAGAAATACTGACTGTCCTTCCTCCTTAAGACACTCATGAAACTCTAGGATCGGCTATTTGTTCTGGAACCATTCTGTCGCCCTATGAAGGTTCCATTTTTTCACTGCCACTTTTCCAACCCAATCCCTGCTTATGCTCTGCCTGCTTTAATTACACTATAAGCTGCAGGTGAACCAAGAGTGTCCTTATTCTCTCTTCAGAAACTGGAACAGTGCTTCTGGCACACAGAAAGTGCTCAATAATATTTCTTTATGAAGGATTCACTGACACAAAATACGTCACAGCAGTCATCCATGACCTGCAGTTTCAATTACCATGTTTCAATTAAACACGGCCAACAACGGTCTGAGAACAGTAAGCGGCGAATTTCAGGAACAGGCAAGCTTGGACCTGTGCGTGGCTCTGAAAAGCGTGACAAGATCTGTCCCGCTGCGCCCCGGCAGCGCCCCTTTCCAGGGCACCCACGCTGCCGGAAGCTGCCTGCCCATCCCTCACTCTGCTATCCTGGTTATCGGACCGACTTCAGAGGGATCACACTGCCTTAGTAATTTCACTTGAGAAAGCTGGCATCTGTGATAAGCTCCAGAGAAGCCGTAAAGTACTTCCGCTGGGTACAAAGATGAAAAATACAGTGGGACCGGTGCCATGGCTCAACGGGCTAATTCTCCACCCTCCAGCACCAGCATCCCATAGGGGCATCAGTTCGTGTCCTGGCTGCTCCACTTCTGATCTAGCTCCCTGCTTAATCTCTGGGAAAGCAGCGAAGGATGGCCCAAGTCCTTGAGCCCCCCACAGCCGCATGGGAGACCTGGACCCCTGGCTCCTAGCTCTGGATATGCGCAGCTCTCAGTGTTGTAGCCATTTGGGGAGCGAACCATCAGATGGAAGACCTTTCTGTCTCTCCTTCTCTCCATAAATATGCCTAATAAAAATAAATAAATCTTTTAAAAAATTATAGTAACATACTATAAAAGAGAATGACCATACTCATACATATGCATTATAATATACTGTGATAATTATTCTATTTCATTATTATTAATCTCTTACTATGCCTAATTCAGAAATTTTATTGAGAGTATGTATGTACACAGGAAAGCATTAATTTTTTAAAAATTTTCATTTTTTTTTAATTGGAAAGTCAGATATATAGAGAGGAACAGAGACGAAGATCTTCTGTCAGCTGATTCACTCCCCAAGTGACCACAACGGCCGGAACTGAGCCAATCCGAAGCCAGGAGCCTCCCCCAGGCCTCCCACATGGGTGCAGGGTCCCAAGGCCTTGGGCCATCCTCAACTGCCTTTCCAGGCCACAAGCAGGAAGCTGGATGGGAAGCGGGGCTGCCGGGACATCAACCAGCGCCCATATGGGATCCTGGCGCATGCAAGGTGAGGACTTTAGACACTAGGCTACTGTGCCAGCTCAAACATCTACTTGGTGTTTTAAACTGTGTACTAATCATTTTCAACGTGCTTTCTTAGCCCCACCTAAATCTTTAAATTCGCCCATAAAACTAAACTTCTAAATCAAATAACTCATCTTCGCAACTGACAAGTTGGACATTTGCTTTTTTCCCCATTTGCTTTCTCTCTGCATGGCTGCTGAACTCTGGGACAAGGTCAACTTCCTTACCCGTGTAAATAGATAAAATAGCCTGAAAATCCTGCTTTGCCCGATTCCAGCTCCAGCTGGGCAGCGTGTCTAAGGCCACAAGTCTCGCTGTGCGGGGACGACTCCTCCCCACGGCCCCGGTGTGTCACCACCCCTTACTGACTTCTTTCAGATTTCCCTCGGCTTTTGCAAAACAGTCTTTCCCCTCCCTCAAATCTACCCCACGACCACGATTTCAGAGTGAGTTTCGTGATGCATATTTGTACTATTTTGGAAATCAAATATTTTATTCCCAAACTTTGGATGCTATATGCATCCAATAAAAGCAGTATTTCCCCAGTTCCTCCATCATCTGGCCCCAACTTCCTCCCTCCATGTTTCACAACCCACTGATCCTGCCTGCATTGCTTTGCTTACATAGTTTCTTCCCTATGGAATAATGATCAGTTTCTTTCCCCAACGCCCTCAGTCGCTTGGGTCTGACTCGAAGGCTGTCGCCTCATAAAGCCGTACTAGATGCGCCTGCACAGCAGGTGTCTCAGCCATCACTTATCACATACTAAGGTCACACGTGACCACGTGTTACAATCTCGTATTAAACAAAGCTCCATTTGCATCAGGAATCCATCGCACACATCCCTGCACTCCCAGAAGCACCTTGCAGGGAGCGTACATCCTGGAGGTCAGGATGGTAGACACTGACCCAGTGAAGAACGTTTTCCGAAAAGGTGACAGCATCAGGTTACTTACAATGTACACAGTCTGATCCTTGAGGCTTTCTGCTTTGGTGATTTGTTTAAACAAGCGAACGAAGTCATTGAACGTGTCACAGGTTACTTCGGCGCAAGAGCCGTCCTCTGGAGAGCCGAGGACACGCAACCTGCTTAAGATGTGCTCCAGAAGGAGCCTCAGGGTGAAGCATTCAACACAATTCACGAAGACATGCGGGAGCTGAAAACCAAAGCCGACAAGTCAGGACCAACAACGCCGGCATCCACCTGTACTCACGGCCCTGCTGGCCATTCTCCAGGCATACTTCTATACACAACCCACCGCCACCCAATACACTGGCCTCCAACCTGTCCTCTCCAGGAGCCGGGCCACTACAGACGGCTGTCCCCAGGGCTCTGATGTTTTCTGGCTGTCGTCTGGGAAACGATGGGAAGCGGCCACGGGCGGCTGAAGGACAATGGTGCTGCACTAAATGCCACCTCAGGATGACAGGAAGGCTGGAGATGGCACTCACAAGAGAGGGAATGCTGTGTGCTGGCTACCCACTTCTGCATACACACCCACTGAGGTGGACCCTGCTGTCTACACATGCCAGTGCTAAGCCACATGTCCTCAACATTTACTACAGGGCCCTTTGCAGAGACTCGGCCCAGCTGTGGCTTCAGATGCGGCAGTGGCTGAACTCTGTCTTCCTTACGCACAGCCCTACATGTTGTCACCACGATCCCTACGGTGCACACGGGGGAAGCTCGAGGTGCTGAACGACAAGGAGCAGTACAGCTCCGCCACACTGTCCTTCCAAACTCTTGACCATCGTATGCCGAAAGAGAACCCGGATGTGGTTCACGGAGGGGCTTGTGTATCGGGCCAATCACTTGGACACTGTGCTGAGAACGTGAGGAGCTGCAAGGAGCTGGCTGCGGGGTGAAGACAAGATCAGGATTGGGACACGTGTGCCACTACACGGGAGAAACAATGGCAATAAAACTGCAACAGGAGCGGACACAGTCAGTGCCTTGAAGGGTACAATCAACAACAGCACACACTTCCTGGCTTGATTTACTGTATCCACAGGGACGAAGACAGAATCGAAAAACCAATTCTGGACAGCTCTGTCAGTGGCGACGTCATTTAGACACAAGCACCATAGCAACCTGAACAAGGAAAAGGGAAATTTGGCCCAGCTTAAAAAATGAATTTCTAGCATCAAGATTCAAACATTCTAATTACACCTTTCAAGATCTAAAGTCACTGAAGGGATTCAAGCAAAAGTTACTCTGCGCTTGTAGCGGCCTAGGAGAAAAACTCAATTAGCATCCAGCTTGGGGTCATTCTTACCTCTAAAGTTTTCAACAAAGTTTGTGTCACATAGGTCTTCCCACTGGCAGTATGCCCATAAATAAAAATGGATGGAAAGCTGAAATGATGTCTCTGGGGGAGAAAAGATAAAGGTTATGAAATTGATAAAATATTCACCAACTTGTGACCAAGCTTCATATGCCAAACGAAACGCTCAAGCCACATAGCGTGTCCAGGGAGCACACGGCGGGTTCACTGCTACATTCCGACCTAAACGCAGTGCTTGGCAAATAACCTCCCGTTATGAAATTAAGATTTCTCTAAAAACCGTATCTGAGATCTAACACACGTATTTACACTGTTATCGCATAGGGCTACGCACGCAAATTCCTGCATTTTCAGTCTTATAGGAAAGTGTGTTTTCAACTTCATAATAGATTTAAAGAGCTTTCTAAGGATAATTTTTTTCCATACTCCATTTTTACCCTAATCCTTTTTTTAAAGAAAAACTGTGCATCTAATAATCACAAATGAACTGGCTCAACAATTTTTTTGCCAAGTATTAAATGCACCATATTCGACATCTTTGTTATCCAAAACGCTGCACATATCCCACCCTGAAATAGAAGTGAAGAGCGCGGGGCAACTGCCAACTTACACCGAACCCTTCCTTTCCTGGAATGCTGCCACCCTTGTCTGTCTTAAAGCATTATGCCCCACCCTATAACATCTCTCCAGCGGTCACCTGGGGTGATCAGTTCAGTTCTTGCACTGTTATTTCACCTCTCTACCACAAACTGCAACAGAGCAGGATCTAGAACCAACGGCAACGGGCGTGCAGTAACTATGTAAATGTTGAATGAATACATCCATGGTACAAACACCACAGGGCCCCTCGCAGCCCTCTGCTACAGTTCTTCCTGTCTCCCACCTGCCCAGCATCTTGCAGACCAGTGGTGTCAACACGGCTCCATCTGAGCCGCCCTGGGAAGAACACCCTTTCTGAGCCCACCGCTCAGGCGGCCCTGCTTCACACCTGGGTGCCAACGTTTCTTCCCAGGAGCGGGACTTGTGGTAAAAGGGAGCTGGCTGCAACAACTCCAGTGAGGGAACTTAGGGTCCACCAGGAAAACGGTGGCGATAGTTAACACTAACTGCAAGCCCTACAATCTGACGATTCACTCACTCAACCTCTTACTGCCCTGATGCGCTGCCACTACCACGGCCCTGGGCCCTTCGTTTCTAACTGGAGGAAAATATCTAACCAAAGCAGATGGGTCCCACCGTCCCATCTGATGTGCAGTTCACACTTCTCCACTTCGCACCCAGCTCCCAACAAATGGGAAAGCAGTGGGAGGTGGCCGGAATACCTCCACCTGGGAGACACCCCCGGTGTCATCAGGGAGTGAGTGGGGGGATTAAAGGTCTCTTTCTGTATCTCTGTCTTTCAAATAAATATAAATAAATCTTAAGGGGGAAAAAAAAACCCCCTAGCTGATCAAGGAATGTGTATACTGCTTGTTTTATTAAGACTTATGTATTTAAAAAGTCACAGAGCGAGAGAGAAGCAGAGATCTTCCATCTGCTAGTTCACGCCCCAGATGGCAGCAAAAAAGGGAGCGGGCAAGCCCGGAGCCCGGAGCCGGAGCCAGGAGCCAGGAGCCTCGTCCAGGTCTCCCTCGCGGGTGCAGAGCCCAAGCCCTCGGCCGGCCCTCTGCTGTTTTCCCAGGTGCAGCGGCAAGGGGCTGGACAGGAAGCAGCTGGGATTTGAACCAACGGCAGCAGAGCCTCCTGTAGCCAGCCTCCTACAAGATCCAAATGTAATCACTGACTCCAAGGCTGGAAAACACAACAGCCAGGAGCACCTGCACTGTATGAATCCTAACAAGACGACAGACCCAGGTCCTGCCTGCTCTACTGTTCCCCCCGGAACAACAGGACGGCCTCCCCCTGGGGCAGCAAGGGAAAGAAGAAACGTGGACTGGGACTCCCCTGGGTCTTCACCAGCCCAGAAGAGCTGCTGGGGGAGATAAAAACCCACGAAAGTGCGCGAAACAGACTTGGTGCACACCATCCTGGGCGGCTGGGCAGCGACAACAAGCGACTTGGGGGCTCGCAGCATCTCAACAAACTTGGCGCGTGCAGGACAAGGACTTGGCCCAGCGGCCCCGCGCACGGTGGATAACGTTATCTCCTCGCTCAACCAAATAAATACAGGTTCAACTGTTTCTCAACCCCTCTCCCACCCCACCCACCACGAAATTCTTCTTATTATTTTTTAATGGAGTCGGCCTCAACGCCACGGAAACACTCAACCCCCAGCATCTCTTAGGAAGAAAAAAAAAAGACTGCCCAGCCTACCTCTCCAAATAGGGACTGCAGAGTGGCCACCTGGGACTCGCGACAAAGCACCATGCTTTCCAAGGGAGGCATGCTGGCGGGCAGCAGCAGCAGCGAGGACAGTGAAGCACTGGCCAGCCGCCCCGCCGGTCACCTGAGGCCACCTCTCCCTCCTTCAGGTAAAGTCCGCTCTTCCAGTCGCCGGAAACTAGACTTGCCCGGCGTGGGGCGGGGCGAGGCGAGCGTCGGCGTGACGTGCGCGCGCGCGCGCGCGCGTGCGCGTGCGCGGAGCGTCGCTGCCGCTCTAGTCGGCCAGGGTGGGCGCCGGAGGTCTTCTCGTTGGTCCCTGGGTGTTTGCTGAGAGGCACAGGTGTTTCCGGTCGCCGCGTTTTCCGCGGGAAAACGCAGCTATGAGGGAAAAGAAGGTGAACCAGCCGCTTGAGTGCTGGAAACAAAGTGGGTTCTCTTCATTTCCCCGCGCCGAGACGCTCAGGAACCGTAACCTCAACGAAGCCGGTTATGGGGGGTGGATTTGTGGCGTCCAGGACCAAAGAAGTGAGTAACACCTCGGGCTTTCACGTACCTGAAACCAGATACTAAAAGTTTCTGAAAGTAAAGATACAAGAGCCACACACGTTTGATGAAAAGAAGGCCTGGAGCCCTAACTCCCCTAGGATTTAGAGGGTTTAAACGACTCAATTGTTTCCAAGTAGTGAGACCTTGGAAGAGTGATGGCCGTTCATTTTGAACTTCAACTTGCTTGCCTGCCAAAGAGAGATAAAAGCAATTGGGTATTGGCTTAGAGGCCGTGCTACTGCCTGAAACACGTACCTTTAAATTGTGGGTGTCAACCTGTCTATAGCTTATGGGCCACACACTTATTTGCAATAGTTAAAAGGATTTTTTTTGAGAATCGGGGCCTCCTATAACTTACTGAACATTCAGCTCAGTATATTTAAAGTTACAATTCAAAAGGAACTGCCTGAATACCCTAAGGGAATTCTGAAAGTTGCAAAGGGGTGTCCCGTCCGTCCTAAGGAAAATTAGTCCTTGCCACACTCCCGAGAACGGTTGCACGTTCTCCCAACAGCACATCTTGGGAGAATTCAGCAAAAACTATCACTCAATTATTGTTTAAAGAAAATGTTAATGTCCCTGCCTAGGTGCTGTGCGGGGAGGAAGCTGTCTTTTCCACAGCCCCATTTCCACCATACAGCAAAGCCGAGCATAGACATACTAAACAGTTACTGAAGAAGTGTTGATACAGGAAGACACATCCGGATAGTTCCCCAGAGGAGCGAACTTCCAGGCTGTGGCTTAGGAATAAGGAATAGAGGTTCAAAAACCAAGCCAAGGAAGAGAAGTTGAAGGGAGAGGCAGAATAAAGACTTGAATCTGTGAGACCAGGAAAGAGCTTGTAAGGAAAAGGCCATGACTGCACCTTGCGCAGGGTAGAGAAGACCTGGAATTGTTGGTTCAAATGGTGAGAACATATTCAAAGATTTCTTAGAAAAGGCCCCAGAAGACCTGGTGCGGAGCTGAGCTGATCTGAAGCCAGGAGCCAGGAGCCTCTTCTGGGTCCCCCATGTGGGTGGAGGATCCCAAGGCTTTGGGCCATCCTCGACTGTATTCCCAGGCTGCAAGTAGGGAGCTGGATGGGAAGTGGAGTAGCCAGGATTAGAACTGGTGCCCAAATGGGATACCAGTGTGTGCAAGGCAGGGACTTTAGCCATTAGGCTACCATGCCGGACCCATTAGTCCAGATTTTTACACTCTGTAACTCAAATAGCTAGTTATTTCTTCTAAAATCCAAGCTCATGTTTCTTGTCTCATTTCTTATTTTATTCACCCTTCTGTGCTGGGTTTGAACCATTCATCTGGAAGCACTTTCCCAATAAGCCACATTAATTTCACATTAATATCCTCTGTGGTGTGGGATATTATTAATATCCTCTGTGGTACGTATTATCTACCTAATACTATAAACCCTCCCAACCTTCTCAACAAAGATTATGTGAAGTCTTATAAACTAGAATATTTACAACTGTAAAAGCACTTAAATCTTAACATTGTGATATTTATGCCTGTGTTTACAGGCACCTGACTGGGCATGAACACCATTTAAAAATTAATTCCTTCCTTCGTTCTCGTAGCATCTGTTGAGGCTCTAGGAGGTGTGGTGTCATCTTAGCTATTCTCATGAAACATCTAATGGAGAAGCTAGACAATGAAGTCCAAATTAGATGACTGAGCACTTCAAATGACGAGCTTTGATATATAGTAATTAGTGCAATTATAGAATGGCCAAATAATTACATATGTGTGACTAATTCCATATTCATATCTACATCTTCTTTTTAAAATTACATCATCCTGAAATATAATGTTTCTTATATGTCCAATCGCATTAATTTAAACCTTTGCTATACACAGCTCCAGGAAAAAATTTTTGACCTGTGTTAATTTTGTTGGGTAAATGATTTTTTGTCCCAGTAGAACAATTTCTAATGCTTGATATTCCTGGGAAATTAGTGACATGCATTAGAATTCTTATACAGTATTTTTTGAGTAATATTTTAAAATTTGCCTTGAGTCAAATTTATTTCATCTGTTTTAATGATATAAATTTCCAAAGTTATACTGCAAAAGAAAAGGAAAGCAATAAGGAAATGTAATAAAACTATACTTAAAACTGAGTTATGTGGTGTAATATATGAAAATTCAATATTCCGGTGAAATTAAATCAATATTAAGGTGAAGAGGCAATTCAGTTAACTCTTCCACTGCAGCAGCAAGATCAATTATTTTTATATTACTCTACTTAAAACTTCCAATCTTGCATTTCTCAAGAAAGTTTTATTAGACAGGCTAATTTCACACTTCTTTAAAAATGTTATATTCACTTATGCTGGTAAATATTCATGAATACGTTCTTATTCAAAAAAATATGTAATAAAAGCACAAAACCTGGTTAGAATCTAGGCTGCAACGCTTGTTCCTTATGCCCGAGACGTGCTGGTTTTGTAAGTCGGAGCTTTCCCACCTGTAGAACCGAAAGCAGGAATGTAGCCAGTAATGTCCTCATCCACTGGACAAGCCTATATCTCCAGAAAGAGGTGCCTGCACTTGAACCTGAACCTGAACTCACTTTGAACTTGCCCAGTGGCCTGACTGTGCTGCCCTGGAATATGCCCACCTCAAGAGCTGGCAGGGATTTTTGTGACTGTTCTCTAAGATGCCCCCGGTTCCTAAAATAGCGATTAGTATAGAAAAGGTGTGCAGTAAATATTTGTTGAATGAATCCATGTTCTATATATCACACAGCAAAAACAATAATTGCTATCATGACTGTTATTTTGATTAAAGCCAACCTTAAATTCTTACTTTCCTATTTCTTGCAATTTTATTGTCTCAGGAAATGGGCGTGGTATTGTTCCAATAACTCAGGCCTAACTTTTCTTTTTTAAAGAGTTATTTATTTTCCTTGGATGGGCAGATTTACAAAGAGGAGAAACAGAGGGAAAGATCTTCTTTCTATTGATTGACTCACTGCCCCAATTAATTGTCCTACTTTACTTCATGGCGAAGGGGGCATGCACAGACATTTGGTAATTCTGTTTGTACTTCATGGCTAAGCAGGTGTCCCTAAAGATAATCCCACAAAATACTGTATTCATATTCTTCCAAGTAAGTCATTGTTCATTCTTCAGTAACAGCCATGGAGCGACAGACAGCCAGGATTCCAGGACCAACACACATGATCAGCAACATTGAGTCCCAAGCTCACATTAGTTGCAAAAAACATCTCACAAGGGCAAACAACATCGTCTCCATGGATTACAGAATTCTTAGTGGGGTGGTTGAGTGTCCATGCAAAGAGGGTGAGACTGCATCAAGGTGGTTGGAGAGACATCTGCCAGGCCCTGCCAAACAGCTGGAAGCTCCTTTGGGCCCTGCCAAACAGGGGAGCTGTTATCTTCACACCTTGGCCTCATCCACACCCATTGCACGGACCCCAGCAGGAAAGGACATCTGAAAAACATCAACGTGAGAAGGAGGCAAAAGACTAGAGTAATAGGTAGAGGACGGCTAGGTAACAGGAAGATGAGAAGAGATGCTGTGAAAAGCAATAAAATGTCAAGAAGAAACAACGCCCAGGGCCAGGTGTGTAACTGTAGCTGCTATATAGAATTCAATACTGTGTGTGTGCTATAATTAATATAACTAATCACTAACGGACTTCCAAGATTATCCCCCATCTTGGCTTTATAAAATTTTCCATGATGATGTTGGTATATCAGCCTTGACCAGTGTCCTGTTGTTTCTTTAGGTTCAAAGGGTTTGGAGCGATGAAGCAAAAATGGACACAGATTTGGAAGTTCTTGAAAGACTTAGCAAACTGACTTCTAATAGTTTGTACCAGTTAGCAGAATCCGGGACTTCTAGAATCAAACCAGTAATGCTACTGGATTCTGGACCAAAGTAAGTGAACATCTATTTCACAGAAAACCATCTATAATAGCTAGGGACTCTGAGAATGGCAATCCATCAGCCGCATTTCTGGACTGACCCGAGATGGGTGGGAGCAGCGGAGCCTTCTCTAAGCCTGAGGCCACACCATCTGGAGACAGCTGGCCAAGTTAGGAAAATCCCTCCATGGAGGGAGGGATTGATGAGTGTTTGTTGTGGAGAGGGATGCGTTTCTGGCTCCGGGCCCTAATCCTTGGGTATTTGCAGGCAGCTGTAGAGCTGGGAAGCAGAAATGCTGGCCAGATCCGCTCAAGCTGCTGGTTTCCGATGCTGGCAGCAGTTCCCCTTTCGGTCTCTAGATGTCGGCCTTGGAGATGAAATAACAGCTCGAGGCTTGGGCGCCGGAGCTTGTCCTCTGGCCCAGAAAGAAGTCCCCCAAGATGATGGAGGACACGCCAGTCCCTGGAAGCAGGGGTTTCAAGGGCATGCCCTTCCGGAGTTGGGCGTGGGAGAACGGACCCTGTCGTCTAACATTCATAGGCCCATGAATGTATACACAGTTAGCTAAGAAAGGAGATGACACCTCACGGATGGTTTTTGTTTCATTTCTCTGACGGCTAGTAGTCCAGAGCAATTTTTTTTTTCTGTTTGTTGGCTCTTCGTACATTTTTAAAAAGATGTCTGTTCAGGTCCTTTGCCTGTTGCATAACTGGATTGTGTGTTTTGCT